CTTCCACTTACCCTTCCCAGAGCCAGGCACCGGCTCCCCCTCTATACCAATCTCCCTCCCACCCTCTAATCTAATTCTCGGGTCCCAGAGGCAGAGCCGCCAATACAGCCACACGCGTCTTCCTCCAGATGCTGGGGTGCATTTGAGCAGCTGGTATGTCATGCGTATCCCTCCCCTTCTCCAAAGCCAGACATCTCTCCTCCCTGTTCTAACCCAATTCCCCTCCCCGACTAACCTTATGCCTGGGTCCCGGAGCTGCTGCTGCACCCAGAGCCACTGCCTGCGCTCAGCAGCCAGCTGCTAGCACATGCAGGCTGGAACGCTGTGTGCGACTCAGCCTGCACATGCAGGGTATGACATAGTGCACTGGGGGCCAGGGGCGGGGGGAGGGACACGACGGACCATGAGCATGCATGTGGCTCACAGCAGCCTGGCCATGAGTGCGGTTGACCTGAGCGGTTCCGGTGTCTATCAGGAGCCAGAATTTTTTTTTTTCTTGAGGTTCGCAAGCCTTGAGTTGGCCACCCCTGTTCTATATCTTTAATGTGGAAGCCTTTGAAAGACTCTAAACCTGAGACTTCACAATTCCATTTTTATTTTTCATTCTAGAACCCCAACTTAAAGGGAGTGGGTACTCACCTGGCACAAACTTTGAGTTTCATGAAGCAAAAAAATAGCTTATTTTTAGTGGCATTAAGCTAACCTTCCAGTAGTTCTAACAGTTTTCTCTAATTTGATTTTACCAGACGACGCTCCCCGAATCCTTCCTCAAACTGGGAAAATCCCTCAGTATGTAGAGAATCTGTCTAAAACTGGAAAAACACGAATAAAACCTATTACACCAAGTAAGTTATTTGCTGTCTCTGAAAAAGGTTTTTTTAATCTCTGAAAGGAGACTTCCCTGTTTAAATGAATACAATCTTTGTTTAAAAATGGTATTTGAAATAGGGATATAAAATCCCATTTAATTGGTTAACTGGTTAAATGTGGCATTTAATGTTTAACAAACTACAAGTGTGCACTCTAGGGGTCACCTAGAGCAGCCTTTTGCCTAGGGTGGGTGGGGAGCTGCTCCTGCCCCTATTAGTTAATCAGTATTGCATACCCTTCTGAAAGTACTTTGCAGCCAATTGCACAGTGAGATAACTACAATGCACTGCTCCATGTGGCATTGCAAGAGCCGCTAATGTTACAAGGAGCACAGCATGGACATACAACAGCAGTTTCCCTGTAGCATTCTGTCAGCAGTGCTTGTAACTGCCATTTCTTTTCACCTACCAGTGTAGACATAGGTTGAGCCATTGGCCTAAGGCTATTGTGTAATCTGGATCACAATGGGGTACACTACCTGTATGGCCCTGAGACTGTCACATGGCTCACAGCTGTGTGCTAATTGTGGCCTACTTGTGGCTCAGTTTGAGAACTACTGGCTTAGACACACCGGGACACAGTTAAGCTGCAAGGTCTAGTGTAGACCTGGCCTAACTAAAGATACGCAACTCCAGCTATGTAGAATTTGTAGCTGGAGTCATCTTACCTTAAGACGCTGAGTTTAGCAGCGTCCCCACAGCAGGAGGCCGATGGGAGCAAACTCTCCTGTTGGCTTCCCTTATTCCTTGCAAGAGCAGGAGTACCGGATGCCATCGGGGGCACCCTCTAAGTTTGGTTAAGCAAGTCTTAAATAGACTTGCTGATTCAAACTCTGGAAGCTTGATTGTGGCAGTGTCTGTATCTTCTGCAGAGTGGAGACATGGCCTCTCTCTCTCTCTCTCAAAAAAAAAAAAGGTATCACATAAAGGGGAAGAGAGAAAAATCTATCCTCTAATGACAACTGTTCCAGATGTGTTCCATTATCTGATCATTTACACTTACCTATAAATGCCTAATACTTGATTTCTCATTCATATTATTGTAACTTTGAAGATTTCAAGAAACTACATGAAGCTCACTTCAAGAAAATGGAGTCAATTGATGCCTACATTGAAAGGAAAAACAAACTAATTGAAAATGTCAGCAACTCTATCAATGAGGTCAAGGTAGGAATCAACAGAGGATCATATCCTTCTAAAATGTAGGGAGTGCTCTTTATTGCACTGTCTCCTCGCAGTCCTTCAGTGTGAGTTCTGCATTTACCCGTGTGGCTAAAGAACCATTTCTGCTGTGTACAGTAAACTTCCGATAATCCGGCACCTTTAGGACCCAGGAGGTGCCAGATTATCAGATATGCTGGACTATCAGAGGGGGGGGGGCTATGAGGGGTCTGGAGAGGGGTGGGAGGGGATGCCAGCCCAGACCCCTCATAGCCCCCCCTTACGATAGTCCCGCTCTGCCCCAGGCGTCTCTGATTCAGCTGCTGCCGGGTTGGTCCCGTAGCGCTGCCCCTCCGCACTTCTGGGTTCCTGATGGTGCCGGACCATCAGGAGTCCCGGAGCATTGGATGCTGGACTAATGGAGTTTTACTGTAGTTGACTGGTTGGGGGCCAATATAATTTTAACAATCCCAATATTCCATAGACTGTGGGGTTATAAGTTCATCTGGAGTATTCTGACTGTCCCTCCAGGGCTATGTCTCCACTACAGAGTGGGTTGTGTGTGGTGTCGTGCTCCCCCCCAAGCCATTTTTTCCAAAAGCTCGCGAACCATCCGCATCTCAAGCACATTGTTTAAACAAAAAAAAAAAAAATATCAAAAGAACGGGGGGTTTTTTTTTGCATAAGTATTCCTCATTCTGAGAGAGAATGCCTTTTTGCAAAAGAGCTCTTTCACATAAAGGGGTATGTGGACGGGGAAGAAGGTTTTTTTTGCACAAAAGGAGGGAAAAGCACAGGTGCCCTGGTGGCCTTATGTGCATAGCTCTAAAGAGCGTCCATACAGAATGGATGCCCTTTTGCAAAAGCGCATCGCTTTTTCGATGAGCTTTTGCAGTGTGGATGTGCTCTTACGCAAGAAGTTTTTGTGGAAGATCACTTCTGATAAAAGCTTCTTGCACAAGAAGCCTGCAGTCTAGATGCCTATGCCTCTTTCTGCCTGCCACAGAACTAACCGTTCTCTGACTCAGAATCATAGAATCCTAGGGCTGGAAGAGACCTCAGGAGATCATTGAGTCCAGCCCCCTGCCCAAAGCAGGGACAATCCCAACTAAATCATCCCAGCTGGGATGATTTAGTTGAGATTGGCCCTGCTTTGTAAAAATAAAAGTATTTATGTTGTTCACAATAGTTCTTAAAAGGTAGTCTCTTAATTACTTTTCTGGGATAGTTAGACAAAAAAGCCAAACTTCTGAATTTTGTCTGGGTTGCCATGGAACTTGAGCATGTTAGATGTTGTTTCGGTGGCTGTCTTGACCTGTTACATTTTCCACTTTGGCCGGGCCTTAAGTATATTTTTTACATATCTTCTTGGGGAAAGGCATTCAATTAATCTTCAAATGACCTGGCATGTATATGGTTCTTGATGACCCTTGATTGCTGTCAAATCCTGTGTTCTAAACATGAACATACGGGAATTCTGAAATAATGGCACTTTTCTTCAAGTGCTTATTCACGTATATTCCAGTTAGGTGAGTTCACATACACGGTGGCTGAAATTCTTTTCCATAGCATCTGGAGGGTTGATCTAGGTAGCTCCCACTGAAGTCATGCCTTCATGGTGCCCAATATAGAGCCCTTGCGAACTACCCCCTCTCAGTAGTTTCTTACTGCCAGTGACAGTGTGGTGGAATGTCCTATAGTTCTTGGCTTTGCGAGTGCACCATCTCATCTAGTTAGCCAGTGAATATAGCTTCCATAATAGTAGTTAATTTTCAAGTTCATCTTAGTAGAACCCCCCGAGTCACAGCATGCCACTGTCTGTAGGGCTCAAATACTGTGTTGTTGACATGAAGTGCATGCCGATGAACGACCTTCACTCCGACTGCCTAAGACTGGATATGGGTCACCCATGAGATCATTGGCACATTTGCTGTGAATTCCACCCCAGAATTTAAGGACCAGGAATAGCGGCTGAAGATGCTCCTTATGGAGACCTGAGACCAGGAGACCTGGAATCAATACCGTCTCATCTGCACAGAGCACCTTGGGTGCCAAAAAGGGACTCCTTTCGGCACTAACATGGGTCTACCAGAAGAGTGCCTGAGACACTAATCTCATTTGCTAGTGCCTCAGAAGAGGAAGAAGCCAGAGAGCTGGACTTCCTCAAAGTCAAAGGATGTGAAACCCCGGGAGGGCCACATCTCAAAATCTTCCCAGAGGCATGCATCAACTCTTACCCATGAAGAGAAGTTGAATCTGCATCCACAATGCTCCCTGCACCTATTGGATCAGCATCTGCTGCTCCCTTCAACACTGGAGGCCTTTGTGGCAGCTAAAACCCTTATACAACTTATGGCACTGTTCTCTCCCCCGAGAGAAGTCTCTGGTGCCAGTGGCATCTGTGCCCACAGGTGCAGTCAAGAGGGAATCCAGCTATGATGTCAAGGCTTTTCCTCTCACCAAGTCTGGGGCAGCATCCTGCTCAGACAGAGCCCAGCTGATTGCCAAGCCCCTAGTCCAGAGAAAAGTGATAAGGAATCCTGCAACAGTGAGTCTGGTAGGAAGTAGCCCAGGGCATGGAGTTACCCTCCCTGAGAGCTTGGTGTATTTCTGATAGATTCCCCATTGAGCTAGTGGTGGACCACTCCACCACTGATCGGGCCCTGGTCTGGGACCCAGTGGAGAGGATGGGTCCAGGTTTCCCTGCCTCCACCATTAACCCCACGGGAGGTCACTAATTGTTGCCACTGATTCTGGCTGCTAGACAACGCTGCCCTAAGGGTAGGGTGTGGTGTTCCTGACTCTGGTTGCTAGGCTTGACTGCCTCAGAGACATAAGAACGGCCGTACTGGGTCAGACCAAAGGTCCATCTAGCCCAGTATCCTGTGTGCCGACAGTGGCCAGCACCAAGTGCCCCAGAGAGGGTGGACCGAAGACGATGATCAAGTGATTTGTCTCCTGCAATCCCTCTCCAGCCTCTGACAAACAGAGGCCAAGGACACCATTTTATCCCCTGGCTAATAGCCTTTTATGAATCTAACCTCCATGAAATTATCTAGACAAGATGTGGTTATTGGCCCTGGGCCATTGGAGCTGATGCGCACGCGCACACACACACACGCGCACGCACACACACGCGCGCACACACACACACACTGGGTGGAGCACCCATTGAGATGCTTAAAACCCTACCCTTGAGGGTGACGGGCATGCCCACCCTATGACACTCCTATAAGTTGGCTTTCTTAGTTTCCATAACTTTGGTCAGGAGAGGACCTTCTGTTCAGACACTTAACTTCAAAATAACCCTACCCGGTGTTCTTTAAGAACAAACTCTAGCTCAGGCCTCACCTAGTTTCACTCACTCTTCAAAAGTAGAGTCACAGTTTCACCTGAAGCAGGATGTTTTCTTGTCAGTGTTTTATCCTAAGCCACATTCTTCTGCCAAGGAGCAGAAATTGCACTCCCATGATGTCCATAGAGCACTGGCCACCGAGCACTGGCCACCTATATCAAGAGAACTAAACCGTTTCATAAACCTGTCAAGCTATTTGTGGCAGTTGCAGATAGCATGAAGTGCCCGCCAGTGTCTGTCGAATGCATCTCATCATGGATTATGTCCTGTATCCAATAGTGCTACAGGTTAGCAGGAGTTCTAGCATCTCCAGTCACAGCACTTTCCACCAGAGGGCAAGGTTTTCCCACAGCATTTCTAGCTCCACTCCCCACTCTCACAAAATCTAGAGCAGCAATGCGGTCCTCTATCTATACCTTTGCCTCACATTACACAGCTACATAGCAGGCCAGAGAGGATGTGGCCATTGGACAAGCTGTGTTACAATCAGTGATTGATTCAGTCCCACCTCCTAACCTTCTGCTACTGAATCACCTTAGATATGATCGTATCTATTCCAAAACCCACCCTCTTTCCCCACTGTCAAAGTAGCCATTAAGAAGGAACTGAGGGGATGGCAGGGATCTATATTAAGTACCATGAATACATGACTCCAGGGGGCCCATGAACTAAACCTACAAGCACTGGTACAGGAAAATCTGGGCATATGCGTGCGCACACACGCCTACTTGGAATAGACCTAAACAACATGTCTAACCTTTGAGACTGTATATGACTATCTTTTTCCAGATGTAACACACATGTGCATGTGCCAAGATTTTTACAGCAATGTAAAGGCAATTGAAATTTATTCTGAAAGTTATGGCAAGTGTGCGGATGAGTATTTGACACCCTACATTTTATTTTGGCAGATGTTGGCTAAAAAAGCTAACCATCCAAAGACATGTGAGAGAGGAACTCCACACAGCAATTTTAAGGTGAGGAGTTTTCTTCCCCCAGATATAATCTTGTCTGGTTACAAGGGAAATCTTTTTTGGAATATTTCTTTGTGATTTCTCATATCCATTCCAATAGGTGCGTGCGGGCCTTGCATGCATGATGGTTGGAGATAATTTCTCCAACAATATCCATTGCATCAGATTTGGAGCCCTCTGGCATGGTGCCTTCAAGGTGCAGCATAGAGGACACTGCCAAATCCTCCACCCCCTGCCCCATCTTTTCAATTTCTTCTCCCCATCAGTGACTGTCAGCTTCTTTGTGCTCTTGCTCTGCAAGCATGATCTTGGTATTCAATATTTCCTTATTCTAAAAACCAAGAATGGGCTCAGGCCCATTCTGGATCTGTGGAACTTCACTTTTATCAAGAGGTTCAAGTTTTGGATGACCTCCCTACTCACCACCTTACCCTTCCTGGATCTAGGGGATTGGTATGCCACCCTTGACTTGAAAGACACATACTTTCCATGTTTCTATTTTCCCAGCCATCTTAAGTATTTTCAGTTTTGTGGCCAGCGACTGCCATTATTAGCTTAAATGCTCACTTTCTGCCTTTCTCTACAGCCCTCCTTTCCCCCAAGTAGTCACACAATGCATAGCGATTGTAGTGGCCTTCTTCCAGAAGGGCCAGGTGCATACCACCTATACTGAGAGGAGATGGTCCTCACTAATGCAATGTGAGCCACAATCTTCACCAGTGTAGGCTTCCTCTTAAATGAGTAACTATCCTTTGAGTTGGGAGCAGGATGGGCTTAATCAGGGAACTGCAGGCAATGTGCCTTGCAGGCCAGGCGTTCCAGACCCAGCTGCAGGGTCAGTGTGTTGGTTCTGACAGATAACACCACAAAAAATAGGGTGGTGCTCACTCCTCTCCTTTGTGTCAAAGCCCTTCTCCTGTAGGACTTCTGCATATTTTATTGCAGCCACCTGCTTGCTTCATACTTACTGGGGGTGCAAAACAATCTGGACCGCCTCAGTTGTTTGTTCAGCACCCACAAATGGTTGCTCAAGGCAGACATCGCCTTGCCCACCTTCCACAAGTGGGGCCTTCCACAGGTGTATGTCTCTGCAACCGGAAGTGCTGCCTATTCTGCTCCTTCCAAAATCACAACCAGGGATCCTTAATGGATGCATTTCACCAGTCCTGGTCAAGCTGCCTTCTACCCCTGCCTTCCGTTCCCTCTCATACACAAGGTTCTCCTCAAGGTCCAGCCAGACAAGGCGTCCCTCATCCTGGTAGTCTTGGCAAGGCCCAGACAGCACTGGTTTACTACACTACTGAAGCTGTTAGTGGACAGGCTGCTGTCATTGTCTGTGTGGATGCTCCATAGTTGACCCAATTTGATCAGCAGTGCCCAAATACAGTCCATGAAGTCCTTCTGGGTAGCCTTTAGCCCTTTAGCTGGACAACATACCTGGCTAAGTGGAAGTGCTTCTCCATCTGGGCTGCTCAACAGGGAGTTCACCCTATGCAACAAACCCCTATTCCTATCACTCTGGATTGCCTCCTGTATCTAAAGCAGGAGTGGGGAACATTTTTTTGGGGAGGAGAGAGGGTTGGGGGCTGCTGATCCACAGAAAACTCAGTTGGAGGCCATATACAAACGAGAAGCAAAAAAAACCACATGCTCACTGATGTGTCCCCTGACAAGGAGAGAGATACTCCCCACATTCCACTCACATGCCAGAGGCTAGGGGGCCCAGGCTAGTAGCTTGTGTGCTGCAGCTCTGTGGGGAGTAGTGGGAGGGCTGTAGTGCTAGCATGGGCTCCCCAATGCAGGAGGGGAGCCTCAAGCCTCAGGGGCTGGATCCAGGCAAGCCTTAGGTTCCCCACCCCGATCTAAAGCATCAGGGCCTGGCCATCTCATTCATTGGGGTCCACCTACTAGTCATCTCCACATTTCACCCAGGGGAGGGGGATAAATCTGTCTTTGGAGACCCTCTGGTGGAGCAGTTCCTCAAAAGTCTAGACAGACTCTACCTTGGGTCAAAAACCCGGTTCTTTCTAAGCTTATGGGTCTCACATTTGAGCCCCTAGTGACTTACCTTTTGCCCTACCTCCAGGAAGATGGGGTACGTCTAGACTACATGCCTCTGTCGCCAGAGGCATGTAGATTAGGCTACCCGACATAGTAAAATGAAGCGGCGATTTAAATAATCGACGCTTCATTTAAATTTACATGGCTGCCGCGCTGATGCCTCTGTCGCCAGAGGCATGTAGATTAGGCTACCCGACATAGTAAAATGAAGCGGCGATTTAAATAATCGCTGCTTCATTTAAATTTCATGGCTGCCGTGCTGAGTCGACAAACAGCTGATCAGCTGTTTGTCGACTCAGCACGGCAGCCATGAAATTTAAATGAAGCAGCGATTATTTAAATCGCCGCTTCATTTTACTATGTCGGGTAGCCTAATCTACATGCCTCTGGCGACAGAGGCATGTAGTCTAGACGTACCCATGATCTTCCTGGTGTCTAACCTCTGCTCGGCGAGTCTGAGCACCAAGCCCTCACCTCAGAATCACCATACAGTGTCATTAAAAAAGACCATGTGAAACTATGCCCTCGCCCAGTGCTCCTGGCTAAGATGATCTTGTCCAGAGGAATAACTCCTTTTTGTGCTACAGCTCTTGCATGAAAAGGCAGGTGTAGATGCTCCGGATGGGGTTTCTTGTGCAAAAACCCTGTCAAGAGATGATCTCGTCTTCCTGGATGTTAGGTGTGCCCTGGCATTTCATAAGTCAATACAACTCTCTATTGCAATAGCAAAAAGAATGAATAGCCTCCTCATTTTGGCCCAATGTCTTCTATCATGGATCTTGTCCTGCATCAGAGTCTATGACCTGGCCAAAGTCTAGGCACAAGCTTCCTCATCAGCATTCTTCATGCAGGTCCTGTCCAGGACATCGGTTAGGCAGCCACATATTCACACTTTCATGTCGCACTAGATGACTATGCCAGCACAATCAAGGAAGTAATGTTTTTCCAAATGCTAAAACCTCCATAGAATGTGCTAAACTATTGTTTGTGTTCCTAGAAACGCTCTACTGGCAGTGCATTTTTATTCAGTCCACATCTCCAAAGAGGAAGATTCTCTAATAGCGGTACCCCAGGCAACCCACGGTGCTCTCCGCGCATCTCAGTAGGCACTGTAAATCGGAGTATTTTGTCTCGGAAGTCTTCATTCAATCCCTCCATTCTCTCAACAACCAAAATGAATGTCAGGTAATGAGAATGCACCAAAAATATTAGTCCAGTATTTGGAATAATAAACAAACAACCCAGACTGGTCACTTACTTTGATTTATCCTTCTACATTTACAGCTCCAAAAGTGAACTAAGTCATGCAATTTAAAAATTGAAAATTAAGTGGCAATAAAAACCTGATTCTTGTATTGGTTATTGATAGCACTTGATGCAGATTCAAATTCTTATTGCATATTCATGACAAGGAGTGTGCCAAAGGATCATGTATTACAGCATCTTATGTTTTTTCCTCTGGTAGAGTTGAGAAACTTAATCTGGTTGAAATGTTTAATGAGCACCTGTTAATGCAGGAAGATTCAGATCTCTCTTCTAATGAAAAATACTTCCTTTCAGATTCTCAGAAGCTACAAAAGATAATGAACACAAACGCTCCCTTACCAAGACTCCATCTAGAAAGTCACCATTCTTGGAGATCTGTACACCTGATATCCAGAAAAGTGGCAAACTTACAACTAGAAAGAGCATGAAGGGAAGTACCACAAGCAATGAGCTGACTAAACCAAAGACCAGCCCTAATGGTAATCATCTGAGAAACATTTATGCTAAATTTATATAGTATTTGGAAACAAACTTTAATGCTTTTTAGCAAAGGGCAAGGTGAAATATCTCATTTCCCATAAGTGGAATGATTATTTAAAGGACTGTGATAATTTGTTTTTACATGTATTTTCTTTCAGTTCTTTGACCTGAGAAGGTGAGATGGTTAAAGTCTGGATAATATTAGAGGCAAGAAACTATATCCAGTTTAGCTTTTTTGTGTTTGTGATTGAGCAGTTTGTGTATTGTGTTGGCACATAAAACTACCCCAAAAAAGCACTACTGCAGACTTGGTACTAGAATACTCCAGAAGAGGTTTAAGTGTCCTTTGCATAAAAGCTCCCTGGATCACCAAACAACGGATGTAATGGAATAGGAAATATCAAACTTGCTCTGTAGAAGTGGCTTATCTTGTAGAATATGACGCATAAATTACCACTCAATATGTACCCATACAATTGTATAGAAGTCCTACTTCTAATAATAACACTAAGAATTTGTATCCTGCGAGTACTAAAGTTGAAAGAAGGAAGAAAGCATTGGGCAGCATGTGACGATTATGTCCTAAAGCAAAAAATAAATGAACTAAAAAATCAACTCTGAGCAAGAAAGTTAGTTTTAGAACTGTTTGAATGATTTCCTTTATTATCAATAGTTGCATTTAACCCTGTTCTTGAACATTTTCTGCAAGTGTTAAGTGTTTATCAGGGATGCTTTACTCCTTTTATGTAGACCAGCTGTTATGTTTATAAAAGAAAGATTGTATGAGATGTTTGAGCAAGGACCTCAGTCTATCCTACATCATGTCCTATTTGGCATTTTTGACCTGTATGTCAAAGACCCTATAATAGCACAGTCATTTATGCTAATCAGTACAGTATCTATTTGTTTTCTATTAAAACATGAGATCGAGACAGTCTTTAACTGCTAGGGAACTGTTTTTTTTTGTTTTGTTTTGTTTTGTTTTTTTTTGTTTTTTTTTAGGTCCACGGCTGCCTCATGGCGTAAACTATATAGCATCTTACGAATAGGTCATGATTCTGTAGCAAACTACATGACTGTGTAGATTTGCATTATATATGTCTCAACTTTTACTTGTACTAACAGTGTGCTCAGTGGCATGGAAGAACTTAACAGCCATCCAGTATCCTCTGTCTCAGTGTGGACCCCATGCTAGACCAGGGGTTGGCAAGATGCAGCCCATGGGCTGGATGTGGCCTGTCAAGCCACCAGGTCCGGTCCACGGCTGCCTCACCAGGACCCTCAGGCACAGAGTAGCTCATGGCACTCTATGCTGGGGTGGAGGGTAGGTTTGTGCACTACCCTCACCCCCAGCAAAATCTCTGTTCCCATTGTCCAGTTTCCAGCTAGTAGGAGCTGAAAAATATTTTGCTGGGACTGGCAGTGTGCGGAGCCTCTTCCTCCTGCTCCCTGGGCTGGAGCAGAGCCACATGAAGCAGCCAGCTCCTTTTTTTAACCCAACCTGAACTGCAGCAAACAGTCTGCCTCAAGTTCCCATAGGGCTGCTGGCTGGGAGCCACCTAGGTAAATGCCTCCCAGCTACAGCTTGCCTCTGGCACTACTTCTTCTCCGCCCTCCCCCCCCCTTTTTTTTAAACTACCTGCCCTACATCACCACCCAAACTCTCTGTACCCCCTCTCCCCATCTCCTCCAGGTCACAGCTCTTTCCCAGACTCTGCATCCCCTTGTACATCAATCTCCCAGACCAGAATCTTCTCCAATACCTATACCCCCTCCTAGATCCTGCACCCCAAGCTCCTGCCCCAGATCATAACCTACTCCTTCACCAAAACTCCATCAGCCCCTGCACCCCAGTCCACTGCCCCAAGCTCCCTTCTGCACCCAACCTCCATCCCAGATGCCGCACCCCTCCATAGAATTGCAGCCTTTGACTACTTAGCAAAATCTTGACGTGTCCCCCATGAAAAATTATTGCCCATCTTGTGCTAGTGTCAGATACTTCCCTTTCCACTGATTGGGGGTGTGGTGGGGTTTTTGTGGACCACCTTCCCTGCTGCTCATGATTGCAGTCCATCCTTTGTTACCGGCAGTAATTTCTTACATGGAAAAAGTAGTACTGGGTATTCTGAAGTGATTTTTAATGACTCTGCTGGAAATAAGCAGGATCATGTGATTGCCATATGCTTGATAGACCTCTGGGAGGCCATAGGCCAGTTGAGAAGCACTAGACTCTCTCTGTGGCTTGACTTAAATCTCCTACATGCCAAGGTTATCTACTTAAAACCCAATCAAAAGTGTGAGACTTTCCAAGTCTGCCCTTTGAATGTTATTGCCCCATGTTGTTCAACCCTTTCCCTGTTATATCAAGAGTTAAGATTGGTTTTTAGTTAGGTATGTTTTTATAGTATATGGATCCTTGGTGGCTTGTCTCAAGAAGACCGTATGGCTCTTTGCTTTGGCTGGCTTACAGAATTGAGCTGTTTGTGCTCTCCTTGTGCATTTTTCCGATGGTTTGCTTATAATAGAGCTTGTTCTCTATAACGTGCTTGTTCTTTCTGAATGTGCTTTTTTTTTTAAGCTGTTACACCATTCAAGTTTGCAGCTCAGCCTGCAGAACCCACAAGTACCAAGAAGCCAACATTTGATCTGAAAGCAAGTCTGTCAAGGCCACTTGGATATCAGCCACACAGAGGTACTGTGACTTTGTGCTGTTTCTATGCGGGGGGGAGGGACAAGTACTGAACTCATGAAAGAGGGCAGTCTTAATTATGTGCAGCAACAAAGCAGTTCTGTCACACGCTGTACATCAGTGGTCTCCAACCATTTAAGGTTGCCGGGCGCCAGGGGGCGTGGCCGTTCGCCCGCCGGGCACCAGGGGCGGGGACACTTGCGCACCCGGGGCTGGGGGGTTCCCTCCCCCCCCCCCGCCCCCCCCAAGCGCCGCGCGCCCAGAGCGCGGGTGGCCAATCCGCAGCGCTCCCGGGGCCGGCGCTCACCGTGCGCCATGTGCCCGGGGCCAGGCCAGCCCCAAGCACTTGGCTGGCGCATACAAATGCCCCCGCGGGCGCCATGGCGCCCACGGGCACCGTGTTGGGGACCACGGCTCTACATAAAGGTGCAACCTGCAGAGACAGTCTGTACTCTGAAATTAAGCCATACAAAGTGTATTTTCTAGCAGAAAGGGTTTTGCTAAAGTTATCTGGGCCTTTAACAACTGGGCTGGTTCTGTTTGCTGTGAAAAAAATTTGTTTCACTAAGTTGCATTCAGAAGACTGCCCTCTGCTCTGCTGGGCAACCCTTGTTATATGGCCTCACTAGCCCTTATTGGCTGCCCCAAAAAACACCTCCTGATTGGCTGTCTCAGTAAGCCCTTTTCCTATAGGTTGAAGTTCTGCATAGCCTCTCTGAGGTCTGTTTTAACTCTCCTGTTACTTACTCCCCACAGGCAGGGTCCCAAGGGGGGGGGCTTTCTGTTGGTAGGTAGGGGCAGAAGCTTTTGCATGATCCTTCTGTTACTCCAAAGCTCACTTAACATAGTGGGTTTGTTTTGTGTTTTATCCAGTTAGCCCAACAGAGGGGGTGGAAGGAGAGCTTCCACCCAAGTTTTCTGTAAACTGTAGCCATGCAGCTAGCTAGCAAGGACTGTGCAGGTGGGAAGAGGTGTCCCTCCTGCAGCTCAGCTCCACTGGAGCTGCCATGGTGCAGCCAGGGAGAGGGAACCCAACCTACCTCAGCCCTGCTGTGGAACTGGGACCCTTCCACAGATTCTCCAAAGGGTTTTATGGTAATATGGACAATCACATTCTTGTGCTGCTGTCCAGGTGTGCTTGATATGCTGAGATTTCCTGAGGATGGGAGATGCAGTGTCTGTTTCAAACACACTGGGAGAAGATGTTAGGAAGGGACAGTAAAGTAACCCAATCAAAGGCACTTCCCTGGCCAGGCACTGAGCTACTGTGGTGCGAGAGCTGGGGAGAGCCATCTCTCTCTGGGGCAGCCTGCACCCCAGGCCTCCACTCCCTCCCAAAGCCCTTGGCCACATCACTTTTATTTTGGAGCATGTACAGTAATTCCTCATTTAACACTATAGATGAGTTTCTGAAAGTTTGTGCTAAGCAAAAATGTGCTATGCGGGATCAATTTTCCCATTTAAAATAATGGAAAAGGTGGGGGTTGCGTTTCAGGTGGTGGTGGCAAAGTCAATTTTTTGTTGGTGTTGGGTCATTAATGTCAGCGTTAGATATCTAGCAACACAAGTTGCTGCAGTTTGTAAAAACACGAGTGAGCAGAGGAACACTGTGACCACGTGTATTCATCCGCTTGTGTATTACCACTGTTTTCACCAACTTCTACCGCTGCGCAAAGTAGTCCGCCACTTGATTATTTTCGTGTTATTTTGGGGACGATCATGTTGTTCGAAAAACAGTCCCTAAAAAAAATCATGCTATTGCAAAAACATGTTAAGCGTGTATGTGTTAAACGAGTCATTACTGTCATTTGAGCTTCCCTCTCATTTGTGATTATTTTATTGCTGGCTATTTCCCAGTTTTACTGGATCACTGTCCACCAAATGCCTGAGGCGGAAAGGTAACCGTTTATGTAATGACTTGTTGTTTTCCTTCTATGAAGTGGGCACACAATGTTCTGAGAGCCTGACCATAGCATTATGTAACTGCCATTAAACTTGAATTGGAGGGGAATATTTGTCCTTCCCCTCTTTTATCATTCCTGCAGAGAAAAATGGAGAAATCTTGGTGTTCTTTCATGCTAAAATCGTGCTGTGAGCACTTCTTGAAATGTATGAGGTAGATGAGAGTATCCTGTGTGGCATAGTTAATCTTTTTAAAATGGTGATTAATTGCAATGTTTAGATATTCTCAGTTTTGGCAGATAGCAACAGTCTTCTGAACATCTCCACCTGCAGGTACTGTTGTGAAGTTACAGAAGTTTTTAAAAAAAATGCACCTGGAGTACAAAGAGGAATATCCCAGTTGAAATCTCACTGAGCACTAGTGCCTACTTTGTAGAAGGAAAACCTGAGTGGGGAAGTAAATGTAATCTGTTCCTTATTTTGAGTGTTGTACAAGAAGCATGAAGTGCAGCTCTTGAGAGATTCCTGAAATTACACATAGGTTTTGGAACATGGAAGAAGCAGAGAAGTTGGACTGTGATGTATGTGTGCACTTCAGCATGTTAAATAACAGACTAGTATACAGATTGATCTAATTGACTAGAGTGTTTGTGCTTGATCTTAGATTAAATTAGGCAGCTTGTTATCTGTAGAATTGAGAATCAGAATGTCAGTATTAGCACTATAAATGCATACCATTACTAAATTTTAATAACTAGCTTCTGTTTTTTGTTTGTTGCAATGTAGGAAGACTGAAACCTTGGGGTGACACAAAAGAAAACACTGTCCTGAATAAATCAATTAATAATAGCGTCTCTTCACACACAAAAGATTACAAACAGCCACGTCTCCAGACCAGGTCAGTACAAGGCTGTTATAGGTGATATTTTAACATTAGAACTCTGTAGGAGAGCATTATGATTGAAATGTGTAACAAGATAATGCTTTTCAGTAAATTCTATATACAAGGCAACAGTGCAGGTGACAGTCTTGCTATGTAGTGACAGAAAATAGAATCACAGAACTGGATAGAACCTCAAGAGATTATATCAGGTCCAGTTCTCTGCATTCCGGGCAGTATCAAGCACCACTTAGACCACCCCGACAGGTGTTTTTGTCTATCCTGCATTTAAATATTTCCAATGATGTTCATTCTACAATGTAGGCAATTTATTCCAGTACCCTGACAGGGAGTTTTTCCTAATGTCCACCCTAAACCTTCCTTGCTGCAAATTAAGCCCATTCTTTCTTCTTCTATCAGAGGTTAAGAAGAATAATTTTTCTCCCTCTCCTTTGTGGCAACCTTTTTAAGTATGTCCCCTCTGTTATCTTTTCTAGACTATACGAAACCAGTATTTTTCTTCCCTCACAAGCTGTTTTTCTAGGCCTTTTAATAGCTATTGCTATTCTCTGGAGTTTTTCCAATTTGTCCATCTTTCCAGAAATGTGGCACCCAGAACAGGACAACACTCTTGTTGAGGCCTAGTCAACACAGTGTAGAGTGGAAGAATTACTACTTGTGTCTTGCTTCTGACTGTGAACTTACAATGCTCTTTCCTGAACCATAGAAAAATTTCTAATTTATTTCTATCCATGTTTATAATTGGGCCAAAGTATAGCTCTCCGCTTCCCTCTACATTAATACAGAAATGAGACTGCTAGAAAAGACAGATCCCATCTTGATTTCTGCAGTGGTTCATCAACTAACAATGTAGTTTTTTTTATGGTGGGACCTATGCTCTTTAAGGGTTGTGCTTCTGCAAAAGAGTTCATAATTAGATTTTTAATAAAAGGTTAGATTGGGGTGGGTAACCGTTTTTAATGGGGGGGGGGTAACTCCAAGAATTTGGTAAGTGGTCAAGGGCCACACTCTTCAAGGTATGTGAAGGAGGTTGGGTGCAGAAGGGAGCTTGGTGTAAGACAGTGTTTCCCAATTTCATTTGGCCAAGCAAACGCCTTTTAAAAAAAAGTAGGGGAAAACTTGTCAACCAAAAAAAAGGGGGGGGGGCGGGGAGGAGACAGGACTGTCGAGCGAAAAGAAATAAAAACCACTGGGCCTGCCCCTAAGTCTGTGCTGGCTGGTGGCCCCTTGAAATTGGTGGCCCTGGGCAACCGCCCCTAAGACCAGATTGGGGGAGGGGAAGTGATTGGGTACTTTCACTTTGCAGAACCCCAGGGTTCTGCGAAGCACTATTTGGGAAACACTGGTGTAAGGGATTGGAGTGCAGAAGGGGGTGTAAGGTCTGGGAAGGCGTTTGAGTGAAGGAGGAGGTTGTGATCTGGGACTGATGTGCAGGGTCCTGAAGGAGGTATGGATGCAAGAGAGGATGGTGGAGGGAGAAGCATAGATCTGGGGGTGACCCAGAGCCACAGATTAGGGTGCAAGTTGTGGGAGGGGTTTGTGGCCTGACAGAGGGGTGTAGGAAGGGATGCAAGGTTTGGAGGGCTAAGTGTTGGTGGGGATGAAGGAACTCTAGGGTGTCATAGGCAGGCTCTGGCCAGCAGGGGGCTTATCTGGGCACTTCCTGGCCTGCAATCCAGCTGGTTTCTCAGCCAGGGTTCCTGCCTTCTATGCCCTAGTACTGTCTACAGGGGCCAGTGTGGCTGAATCTGAATGCAGGGAGGCTGAGGGGAGGACAATTGTCCTGCAAACAGGCAACTCTGGTTGGAAACTGACCAATGAGAGCTTCAAGATTTTGTTGGGGGGCAGGGGCAGTGCACAAAGCTTCCCTACTCCCTCCACCCCCAAGCTAGCAAGGTTAGAGTGCTGCTCTCAGCAGTGTGCAGGGGAGGGGGATGAGTCTAACAGAGGCTCACGGGCCATATCTGGTGGTTTAGCAGGCCATTGGCCCGTGGGCCATATATTGCCCACCCTGGGTTAGACCAACACCTGTCAGGGATGACCTAGGTTTACTTGGTGCTTCCTCAGTGGAAAGGGCTGGACTAGATGTGACTCCTTGTGATTCCTTCCTGCCGTACATTTCTAGGATATGTAATCTAATAGGCAAAAAATGGAGCAGATGGCCAGTGCAACATGTTGGCTAAGTGAATCTGTGAGCCTCTAGTGTAGCTAGCTTAAAGGAATCCTTCTAATTGCTTATTCATATAGTGGTTCCCAACCTTTTCCAGATGAGGACCCATTTTGAAAATTCAGGAAGACTTGGTGACCCAGGGCAATTCAAAAAATGCGTGAATGGCTCCTTAAGAGCACCTGGGGAGACACCTAGCTACCCTTTTGAAATGTAATGGCGACCCATATTTGGGTCCCGACCCATAAGTTGCAAAACCCTGGCATATAGTTTCTCTGCCTGTGCAACTAATTGCTCACTTGCTCTAATTTAGTGTGATTTTTCTTTTCACTTTCAGAGAAGGGAGGCGTGAGAAGCATAAGCAGGAGAGAAAGCAGAAAAAGGCTCAGATGCTTGGAACCCGCAGAGGACTACCTATGGCTTAGGAGTAACTTTGTAACTTCTTAAGGATTCATTGTAAATACTGTTCTCCGGGAAATGTCTTTCCTACCTGTGTAAATATTTGTTTGTAATGTGTGCACTAAAGAATGAGTCATCTGGGTTGACTGGATGTTACTAGCCATTTAGGGCAGAGTTTTAGTGCTGTTGAGCTTAACTTGTGGGTTTCTTGGTTACAAGTTGGATAAAATATTGATACTCTCTTGTATATTCTAAATAGAGCCCAGAATATCTGAAATCACTTAGTTATTCATCCAGTTAGGTTTTAGACTGGTTGGTATTCTTGGTTGTAAATTTCGAACAAAAGCTTCCTCCTAAATTGGGAGATTCCCTAAAACCATTAGACTGAAAAGATACTAAAGGGGGGATGGGAGATAATCATGAAGCTATTTTCACATTGTCACTTATCAGTTGAGCATAGCTTTCTAGATGCTAAATAACTTGAAAATGTTCCATTATCAAAAAATGTAGTCTCTGTCTTATGTGTAGCAGCAATTGTTAGAGAGATTTCCTGTAAAGTCCTTTGTGAAGTAAACTATAATCTGTAGGAGAGGGAAAACCATGTTATAAAGGTTTTAGAGCCCTAAGTATCCCGTTAGAATAAAGTTGGGGGGGGAGTAGAAATTTAATACAAACCTTGTAGGTTGCTAACCAGATGCATGAAGAGCAGCCCAGGTTTTTTTTCTGTATTACCACATATTACAGGATCTTAAATTTGGCAAAACAGAACAATCGTTGTTTTGACGTTCTATTAGTAAGCCAATATCTTTTGAGGATTGATGTACTTAGAATAGATTTAGAAAACCTGTAGCAGTAATAACAGCATTTTCCCCAAAGGTTATCTATAAAGGAAAATCTTTTTAATCATTTAAATATGGAATAGACTGGAAGCTTGCGGAGAATGGGAAAGAGGGAGGATGCACTGCAGTTGCTATTTCATTATAGCTGTTTGGACTGATAAGCAAATATTTACAAAGTAATAGGTTCACTGTTGCATTTAGGCTTAAACTTTCCTGTGACACTTGCTGAACCATTCCATTCAGAAATAGAAAAGCTTTTTTTATATAAAATTGTATACTATGTGAGAAAATAAACGGCTTTTGTATTGAATGCTGTTGCTTATGGAGGGTGACCATATTTCCCCATGCCAAATGTGGGACACCAAGTGGAGGGAGGGGAGGGGGCTGCTGGCACATGGGGCTCCAGCCCCGGGGGAAGGAGGAAGGGGCAGTGTTCAGGGCTCCAGCAGGGATGGGGGAAGGGGAGCTGCTGGTGCTCCAGTGCTGGGGGAGGGCATGGTGGCACTAGCATTGGGGCTTCATAGCTGAAGTCCTGGGAGCTAGAGGCTCCTCCCCGTCTCCTGCTGGAGAAATAGGGGACAATGTGCCTGTTTTTATTAAAAAAAAAAAAAAAATTCAGGACACTGGAAACAGCCATTAAATATAAGACTGTCCCCAGTAAAAATAGAACGGATGGTCACCCTATGACTTAAATGGCATGAGAAGTGTGGTTATTAAGTGTGTGTGTGTGCGTGTGTGTGTGCACGTGCAAGAGTAGGGACGCAACATTAAAAAAAAAAATTCAGGACACTGGAAACAGCCATTAAATATAAGACTGTCCCCAGTAAAAATAGGACGGATGGTCACCCTATGACTTAAATGGCACGAGAAGTGTGATTATTAAGTGTGTGCGTGTGCGTGTGTGTGTGCACGTGCAAGAGTAGGGACGCAACATTTAACCATCTGCAGTTGCTAGATGTACTCATACATACATGTATATACCATTCTTCCACTAAAGAAAAATATATAACAATTTGCTAAGCTTAGTGATCTGCCTAATCTTTTTTTAGTTGATGCAGTTCACTTCTTGGTGTTGTAAATCAGAATACTGAAACACTTATGTTTAGCAGGGACAGAGAGAGAATGCTTAGAAAGGGCTTATTACTAACCCATTTAGTAGTAAGTATTCAGAGTATTAGAATGTTACTTTGGTCCTATCAGTTCACTGTCTGTGCAGTACTTGAATGCTATTTTTCTTTGAAACCCTGTTCAATATAAGTCACCTCAGGAAACCCAGCACTCCTTGTTCTAAACCAAATCCACTTTACCCCTCCCCCACCTCTTATAATGTGCTATACAAATCAAGATGTGTAGATCTTTCCCAGCTTTTGGACTCCCATTATGGAAAACCCTGGTGTAGCTCTTCATCCCCTCCTTATAATAATAATGGAGATTGCCTATCTCCTAGAACTGGAAGGGACCTTGCAAGGTCATTGAGTCCAGTCCCCTGCCTTCACAGCAGGACCAAGTACCATCCCTGATGAATTTTTGCCCCAAATCCCTAAATGGCCTCTGCAAGGATTGAACTCACAACCCTGGATTTAGCAGGCCAACGCTCAAACCACTGAGCTATCCCTCCTTTCTTAAAGGCTTTGAGTAATTGAAATATTTCAAGTATCAGTCTTATCACCTGCCTGATGTCACCACTAGCTCAAAAATAACTTTTTTTCAGGTGTTCTCTATTCATTACACAGCTCCTATTTTGAAGGTTTGCTTTGTAACCATCACAGCTAGATTTATTTTTAAATGGAAGGTGAGATTGGATCCTGTCCACCCATCTACTCCTGGGTGGGCCTCAGGGAACTTTACTGCACAATTTATGGACTATTCCTAACAGCTGTTAGCCCTCTTCCCAGCCCAAAGACTACAGTTGTGTGCAATATTAAACAGGGAAGGTTATTCTAATTCTAAAGGTCAAGTGAAATACAAACCAGGAAATCTTACAGCATTGCAAGCCCCTATTGCCTTTTGGGATGGAAACTCCCTCTAATTAGTAGGCATGTGCCAGGCAGCAGATTTCTAATAATTTCAAAGAAAACCAGGGTCCAATAATGCAAAGTTATCTCCCCAATAATAGTGCAACAATTTCACTTCGTCTCTTGCTTGTTGTCAGAAGTCCATACTTACTATTGGAAGCCACATTAAACTGAATATGATATGTTCTGAAATTTCAAGTTTAAGTATAGAGTCCATCACACTCACCTAACGACATAATTACTTTAATATTTGAGCTCCTTATCCCATCCATGAAAGAACTAAAGTTTAACTGTCTCTGTGTGTGTGTGTGTGTGTGTGTGTGTTGTCATATATAAATAAAACAAGCTACTGAAGCACATTCCACAGGATTGCAGACCCATCTATGCTTTGGGATTTCTTTCATATTTTTCATAGGCAAATTCTTCTGTGTGAGCTCTGTCATTCAGCAATCCAATAAAGTCTATCTCCAGCTGGAAAGGGCCATCTGCCTTGTCTCCCAATGTGAATCCAACAGAACTAATCTGATAAAAGAAAGTGGTTACTCATTTGGATACAGTTACAAGAAGTGAGATGAAAACCTAGGAAATTTCCATGTTCTCCATTCAGTTTAACTTCACACGCATATCCATATTACAACAGGAATCTAGTCAAATGTGCAATGCTGTTGCATCAAAATACATTCCTTAACCACTTTGGATTAATACTACAGAATATGATTGAGTGATAAGGTGCCCTTGCATGTTTTCTAAACACTTAAGTCTTAAAATTCGGGGTCTCTTCATGATCCTAGAAAAGTCCTGGAATTTTAACCCAGGAAATTCTTTAGCTCTGCAAACTTCTGATTCTGTCTTTAAATATACTGTTAAATATGCACTTATTTATCCATGGCAATCTTTTCATTTGTATTTCAGATATAAGCAGGTTCTCACACACACACACACTCTCTCAAAGGATGGAGGCCTGTTGGGAAGGTGTAAGAAAATTGTGAAGTATTACACACAGGAATTCCCATATCTCATCAAGTCAAGGAAAGTGCATGAAAATGTGTAATAGCCAGTTATGGCTTTTATTACTTGTTCTGATAACCATCGTCTAGCTAGGGACCAAGTAGAAACTAGTGCCCTGAAATGTGAGGGCTCTCTTAAAATTAAAACAATCTTGTAACTTTCGCTAATTTAATTCTGGATGTCCTCATTAACCATCCAAAAGGTACAATTTTTAACTTTAAGCCTACTGTCCCAATGATATCTTGTAGTACTGAGTCCCACAGAGTAACTTTGAGCCTTCTATTAAGTTTGCATTTAAGCATTTAATTTCACTAAATTCTTATTTATTTATTTTAGTATACCTTTACGATGTCCCATCTACAGTTCCAATTTCTTCATTCTTACTCCTCTGAAGTGTTTTCATGCTGTTAATCACTTTCATCATATCGCTCTAAATCTCCTCTATTTTTTTAACTGGGTACTTAGAAATGGAACCCAATATTCCGGGTGAATATATAGCAATGGTTTATGTAATAAGTATTCCATAAAATGACTTTTTTCCTCTTCTACCATTGGTTTGCTTTTGATAGATACTGCATAATGACCAGTCCTCAGTGTTGGCCATCATTCTCCTAAGTTACTTAACATAGAAACCAGCAAAATGTACAAATAGCTCATTGATTCCAATACATATTACAATAAAAAGGTCTGTTATCTGGCATATTAAGGGAATGGGGGTGCCAGTTAATCAAATATTCTGGTTAACAGTGTTATACTTTACCAATGGAATACTAATTTTTCAAAGAATTAGAATAAAATACAATTAATAAAATAATATACAAGTACTGACTAATCCAGTAGTAGTATTGCAGTGTTGGATTGGTTTGATACTTAGGTTCATATAGAGTTTTCTATCCAGTAAGATTTCACACTGCATATCACTACGGGCAGCATATGGTGTACACCCAAATCAGTAAATATACACTCAGCACTAATACAATTCTGAACATAATTTAATCTTTGATTATTCAAAAGGCACTTAATGATTACCTTGTGGCACTGCAGGATAGTGATCAACATCAATTATAAGATGTAGGAGATTGGGCTGAATCTCATGACCCTATGACATACCATAGAAGCTGCTTTTTTTTTTTTTTTTAACTAAATCCTTGATTTCATCTTGCTTTCTTGTCTTCTGCCTTTTTTGCATGGAAATAGAGTATGGAATATGTAATTGCATAAACATTCTATGCAGTATAATTGTCTGGTATGGGATTGAAGATATTAAATAATTAATTGAGCTTTCTGGTTAACTTATGTTTAGAAGCACATGGGATTTTTATAGGGGAAAAAGGCAATATGCCACATTTATTGAGAATACAATGGCAAAGCAGTTACCATATTCTTATATAGACATACACACACAGTTTCATCATATGTTATATTTATCAGGTTGTGGATTGATTATGGGTGGAGGAGTGGGGGTTTACTGGTTTGGATTGATGCTTTAGTTTTTTGGCAGGATAGCTTTGCTTTAAAGCAAAAAAAAATTATTTTTTTAAAAGATTAGTGGGATTTGCATTCTTTTCCTGATGGTGTTTTTTAATTTTAGGTTTGGGGTTTTTTTTGCTTTTTATTATTTTTGTTTTGTTTTGTTGAGCTGGTTTTGATTATAAATATTTTGTTTTAATTGATAAATGCTTGGGGCTTTTTCCGAGTTGATTTGTTTATATTTTAATGGAGAGAGAGAGAGCAAGTTTTAGCATTTTTATGTTTGTTTTTTGGGTGGGTGGGGGCTTTTTGAATATTTAGTTGGGTGGGTTTTGTATTTTTATATTTTTTATCTATAACAAGGTTGATTTCAAGGACATTTAAATTACAATTTAAAAGATGAAATCATATCTCTTTTACAATAATTTTAAAACTTAACAGAATTATAAGACTCTATCCATGCCTTGGAATCAGCTTTTAAAACACAAAATTCTGGCTAATGCACCTTTACTAATGGTAAGGTAAAGGTCCTTCCGGCTTTCAGAAAGGGTGTCTGGCAAAGTACACTGAGGCACATTAATTTGCATAAAGCTATATTTTAGCTAAATGGTTACAAACTGAGTGCCAGATAACAGCGCTTTTACTGTACCATGCATTTGTAGTATGATGGCTGTCATAATTGATCATTTATATTTACTTTTCTTTAATTTTTTTTTGTCTATTTGAAGTACTTTACCTCATTGGTAGTTGATAATTTACTTTAGGCTTTCAGAAAGCCCTGAAAGAAACTGATTCTTAGTAACTACTTCTCTTCAAATTAGTTTTTATAAAAGATTTGGAAAAATAGAGAAAATGTGAGCAAAAACTGTACATGTGTAATATCTGTGGACAAACTATTGTAATTTCATTCATACATCTGTGGCTATCTAGAAGATTTTAATAGTCTTCACTTATATAGTTACTATCATTTAACAAGAATAAGGTGCAGAAACAACTTGCCTTATCTAACCAGAGTGGGTACTGGTCATCCTGGATTCTCCCCCAACTTGAGAGAAAGAACTTGGAGAATGGAATCTGACAGTAAGGAATACAGACATTAGTTTCACACGTACAATACTAGCTTGGAGGAACTACTTTCCCCAATGGCTTAATAACCGATGTTATGCTCTGT